GGGGCTCGCGGCGGCGGCCATGCAGGCGCGCTACTCCGTGTCCAGCCCCAACTCTCTGGGAGTGGTGCCCTACCTCGGCGGCGAGCAGAGCTACTACCGCGCGGCGGCGGCGGCGGCTGGGGGCGGCTACACCGCCATGCCGGCGCCCATGAGCATGTACTCGCATCCCGCCGCACATGCGGAGCAGTACCCGGGCGGCATGGCGCGCGCCTACGGGCCCTACACACCGCAGCCGCAGCCCAAGGACATGGTGAAGCCGCCCTACAGCTACATCGCCCTCATCACCATGGCCATCCAGAACGCGCCCGACAAAAAGATCACCCTCAACGGCATTTATCAGTTCATCATGGACCGCTTCCCCTTCTACCGGGACAACAAGCAGGGCTGGCAGAACAGCATCCGCCACAACCTCTCGCTTAACGAGTGTTTCGTCAAGGTGCCGCGCGACGACAAGAAGCCGGGCAAGGGCAGCTACTGGACGCTGGACCCGGACTCGTACAACATGTTCGAGAACGGCAGCTTCCTGCGGCGCCGGCGGCGCTTTAAGAAGAAGGATGCGGTGAAGGACAAGGAGGAAAAGGACCGCCTGCACATCAAGGAGCCGCCCGCACCGCCCGCACCGCCCGAGCAGGCCGACAGCGGCGCTCCCGGGAGCGCGGGGCCGTCCGGTGCTCAGCCGCAGCCCGTACGCATCCAGGACATTAAGACCGAGAACGGTACGTGCTCCTCGCCGCCCCAGCCCATGTCCCCGGCTGCCGCTACCGCCGTGCCGAAGACCGAGAGCCCCGGCAGCAGCAGCGGCAGCTTGTCGAGCGGGAGCAGCCCCCGTGGCGGGCTCCCAGCGGCGCGCCCACTCAGCCTGGACGGCGCGGAGCTCGCGCCCGCGCCCCCGCCCCCCGCGCCCCCCGCGCCGCCACCACATCACAGCCAGGGCTTCAGCGTGGACAACATCATGACGTCGTTGCGAGGGTCGCCGCAGGGCGCGGCCGCCGAGCTCAGCTCGGGCCTGTTGGCCTCAGCAGCAGCCGCCGCGTCCTCCCGGCCGGGCCTGGCGCCCCCGCTCGCGCTCAGCGCCTACTCGCCCGGCCAGAACTCCCTCTACAGCTCGCCGTGCAGCCAGAGCTCCAGCGCTGGCAGCTCCTCTGGGGGAGGCGGCGGCGGCGGCGGCGGAGGCGGCGCGGGGGGCGCCGGGGGCGCCGGGACCTACCACTGCAACATGCAGGCCATGAGCCTGTACGCGGCTGGCGAGCGCGGCGGCCACCTGCAGGGTGCGCCCGGGGGCGCGGGCGCTTCGGCGGTGGACGACTCCCTGCCCGACTACTCGCTGCCTCCGGTCACCAGCAGCAGCTCCTCGTCCCTGAGTCACGGCGGTGGCGGCGGGGGAGGCCAGGAGGCCGGCCACCACCCTTCGGCCCACCAAGGTCGCCTCGCTTCGTGGTACCTGAACCAGGCGGCAGGAGACCTGGGCCATTTGGCGAGTGCGGCGGCGGCGGCGGCTGCCGCCGGCTACCCGGGACAACAGCAGAGCTTCCACTCGGTGCGAGAGATGTTCGAATCGCAGAGGATTGGCTTGAACAACTCTCCAGTGAACGGCAATAGCAGCTGTCAGATGGCCTTCCCTTCCAGCCAGTCTCTGTACCGCACGTCCGGGGCTTTCGTCTATGACTGCAGCAAGTTTTGACATGCCTCGGCACCCTCTGAACTGAAATGAACTGAACTGAACCCCAAAGCAGGAGCAGCCCAAAGGACCCATCAATGCAAAATCGAAACCAAAAAGCCTTCAATTAAAAAATATTTTTCACACCAGCCAACAGAATCCCTCGAAAAATTCAACTCACCAGCACAAAGAAAACTCTATTTTCTTAAAAGATTAAATCAGAGCCACCTCCAGTTTGCCTTATCTAAATAAACAAAACCGTAAACTATTGTGTACAGAGACCGCAAAAGTATGGTCTGTTAAGGACAGTGTTACTCCAGATAACACGTAAGTTTCTTCTTGCTTTTCAGAGATCACCCTTTCTTCTGCCTTCTCATATCCCCTGCCCTTTTCCGTGGCCTCGCATCTGTAAGATATTATTTTATCCTATGTTTAAAGGAGGGGGGAACCCCCCCTCCAGTACCCGTATATGAAAATCGCTTTCTTTTTATCCATGGACTTGTTTTAAAATGTAAATTGCAACATAGTAATTTATTTTTAATTTGTAGTTGGATGTCGTGGACCAAACGCCAGAAAGTGTTCCAAAACCTGACGTTAAATTGCCTGAAACTTTAAATTGTGCTTTTTTTTTTCATTATAAAAGGGAAACTGTATTAATCTTATTCTACCATCTTTATTTTTGTTGAACATATTCATTGTTTGTTTATTAATAAATTACCATTCAGTTTGAATGAGACCTATATGTCTGGATACTTTAATACAGCCTTAATTATTCTAAAGAATAAAATTTTTCAGAGATAAAGTACTAGTAAATAGTCTATTCTCCACCTAAATCTCTAGATTTTGGAGAAATTCTATTGACTAGTTAGTCCCTGTCAAATTTCACATAACCGTCTATTTTTGCTTAGATTTTTTTTTTTTCCGCAGCGTCGTCTGCAAAATGTACTATATAATCAGCTTGCTTTGAGGTTAGTTTTAAAAAAGATATTTTTCTAAATAGGTCTGAGTTGACATATGAACAAATCATTTTCTCAGTAATGATAAAACATGATCTGGGAACCTTAAACCTATAAATTGGCAGCATTCTTAACCACAGTGATACCTATATGCGCATAAATGAGATGGATCCAGGTGAAAATTTGGCTTGCGTCTCACATATAAAATTGCAGTGTCTATTATACATACATCCCTGTGAGGCAAAAGCAAATTTGAAAAAATTGAAAAAAACAAATTTTTTCAATTAATTTCAGTCCTTTCTAAGAGGAAAAACAAGCCAGTTTTTATATGTATGTATATAAGTCATCCACATTTACAATCCTTCATGTATTACATAGAAGGTTTGATTTTTTTTTTTTTTTTAAATATACTATGGGTTGAAAAGGGATATTTAATCTTTGGGAAACTATTTTAGAAGATATGTTTGTAAAACATTCGTTCTTGAAAAGGCTTAAAGCAGTACAAAAAGGAACGAGAAAGGAGTAGAACAATATAGTCTAGATGGTTTCTTTTCAAACCAATTTTTCTTGTTAATTTACAGTTAAACCTAGGGGGCAATCCGGATTGGCCCTCCCCCTTTGTAAATAACCCAGGAAATGTAATAAATTCATTATCTTGGGGGTAATCTGGTCTGTCAATCAGACTTTGGGGAGATGGCGATTTGATTACAGACATCCAGGGCCTTTCAGTTTGTTTTCAAGATAATACAGTTTCCTGCTATCTGCCGCCCCTATCTAGAGGCAACACTTAGCAGTAATTGCTGTTGCTTGTTGTCAAAATTTGATCATTGTTAAAGGATGGCTGCAAATAAATACACTCTAATTTCAGTCAAAAACGGCTTTACGTGGCTTCTGATTCGCTCCGTCTCCTCCCCCAGCGCTGTAACCTAATAGTCGGGGAAGATCACCGCGGCGCAGGGTGAGGTGCTGCTGGGTCAGCCGGCCGGTAGCCTGCCTGCAGCATCCGAGCCTGGGGATCCGCGGCGGCGACCCCAACACCTCTGACTGCCTCGTTGTGTGGGGGGAGGTGATGGGAAAGAATCCAGTGACACGGCTCTGGGAGTCTCTGCCTTGTCCACTTTGGGCAACCGAGCGTGGAGCCGAGACTTGAGCACTGAACAATCCGGTTGCCAAGCTGGATTGATTTTAGGCCCGGAAGGGGAGCGGCGGCAAGTGACAACGTCTTTGTCCTTGTCCCCTCGGACGGGGTGACCGGCCCCTGAAAGCTGGCCGGCTGGGGCAGCCAGGAATCGTATTGCTTTTGACTTATCGGGCTCCATGGGGATGGAGATTGGAAACTCCGGCCGCCTCTAGCTTGTCGGCGGGGCCTGCCTCCTGAGGCTGCGAGGCCCCCAGCGTCCCCGGACGCCGCGCCCCGATGGGAACGCTTTTCAGTTAATTAGCTGTAATTACCCGCCGCGTCCGGGGTGCCCGGCTTCTGTTTGTGTTTGCTGGCTCTTCCCTTCCCAGCCCCACGCCTCCCGCCCCCAGCGTCTCCCTCCCCTGAGCCCCGCTCTGGTCTCCGGCTGCCGCCCGAAATAAGTTGTTTGGGGAGAAAATAAATAGAGTCAGGGAAGACCTATGTGAGGCTTGTTGATTTAATCACAGGTTCGGGCGTGGGTACCCGGAAGTCAGCGCTGCGGGCCAGGGAGGGAGGCCCGGGTTGGGGGGTGGGGAGAAGTAGCAGGGACGGGGGTCGCGGTCTGGGTACCGGGACTAGGCCCCGCAAGGCCGAGAGCGCGGCCCTCTCCGCCCGTCAACCTCCAGGTCGGCCTTTGCTTCGCGCCTTTCCCGTCTCCGCACTCCTTAGCCCGGGCCCCGAACGCGATCAGTAACTATTTGCTCCGCTCTCGACGCCTTTGTCTGGAAGACACACGTGTGTTGAGGACCACGGCCCGGTCTGGGAGGTCACAGGCTTTGCTCCCGAGGGCCAGCGCACCCAGGCGTCATCGCTGCGCCCGCGACCACCTGGGTGCCCCACTCTGCTGGAGAACCCCGAGACACACCCGCACCCCCACCCCGTTCCCTGGCCGGACAGGGGCAGTCTGGCTCGGGTCCGGCGACGCTCGCAGCAGTAGCTGCGTCCTTGCTTGGTTTGTAAGATTGGTTTACAGAGGCCACAAATCACTTCGGATGGCCGGTGAAGGGGAGTCGCTGGGCCTTGTCGGCGGGACGGTGCACGGTGTGTTCCCAGGGCACATGTCCCTGACCTTCCGCGTCCCCTCGGCCCTGAGCTTGGCGGGCCCGGGGGACTGCGGGTGGCAGCTACTGCAGGGCCTGGAGAGCCTGTCGGCAGCGCGCGGCTCAGGAGAGGGGTGGGTGGCGGGCCGAGAAGCTCCAGCGAATGGACAACTGCAGTCTCCGCTCCTGAGTTGGGCAGAGTGCTGGGGTGAGCGTGGGGAGTGGGGTCCCAGGTCATTTGCCTGCCAGAGCGCTTCCAGAGCCCGCAGGAATGGGGAGTAGGTTACTGGGCCCCTAGCCCCTGAGGCTGGAGCAGAGTTCTCCGGCGTGAGCGGAGCGCTCGCTCCCGCGACTTCACCGCGGCCTCAGCCCAGTGTGCTCCTATATACTTCTTACCCGATGAACGTTTGTCAACACCTTGTTTGCCCTTAGTGGAATGTTTGAAAATTAGGAGTCTAGGAAAGTGTTTGACTATTATACATATAGAGAGACAGCATCTACACAAGTTGCTTACATAATGGCTCAGAAGCAATGTTTGAACGAAAGGTCAGAAGTTCTGTGCAATACTCCGATTTTAAAAAGTGTAGGTGTATGTATACACTCCAAAAAAATGATTGTTGTTAAGTGCCCACGAGTCAGTTCTGACCATAGCGAACCTGTATAGCATTTCTAAGGAGTGGCGTGCGTTTGAACCACCGACCTTGTGGTTGGCAGTCCACTGCTGATCCTACAGTGCCACACCAGGACTTCTTGTATATATGTGTGTGTATGTGTGTATACAAGGAGCTCTGGTAGCGTAGTGGTTACGAATCGGGCTGTGAACCTTAAGGTCAGCGGTTCGAAACTACCAGCTGCTCCGCGGGAGAAAGATGAGGCTTTCTACTCCCGTAAAGATTTACACCCTCGGAAACCCTATACAGGGTCGCTATGGGTCGGAACCGACTAGATGGCACATAACAACAACAACAACATGTGTGTATACATACATATGTATAACATTTTCTACTAGCAAAATGAGCATTTGCTTTTGAATTCTTAATCCAGTTTAAGAAAAATCAACTCCTGCCAACTTTCTTTAACCTGGGAGAATCTGATTATTCCTTATGGATCAGAATGCTTGATTTGTACTTTTTCAGCCACAGGATAATTTTTTTTTCTGTAAATTGGGGTCACATTTGAGTAGAATAACATTATAAGGAAAACTCCTTACTATTGTAATTAGTAGATAATATGTTTTGAGATTAGCTTTTCAATAGAAAGCTTTAAGATAATTAGTATTTTGTCCTTTATATGAAGCAGTGGATGTATTTTTTCCCTTAGCAATTTATACTATGAGCCAGGAAAGGCCAAAATGTGACCAGCCGTATGAAACTTGGATTTGGCACATTGCACATGTGGTAGGAACACGTGCTGTTCTCCAGGGTTATGCAGTTAGCAAGCCTTTCTTAACCAGCTTGCATGCTAACAAGCATGCATTTTACAATTTATCATTCCGCGCAGCTTGTGTCATTAATAATCAATGTTTGTTGAGGAATAAGGCTCAATTGTGCCCGCGGCCAGTAAGCTCTTGGCTGTTTCCTGTGAGGTCAGCAAACAAGGGTCAGAAAACATGAATACTTTGTAGCTCCCCATTGGCTGCCCTAACTTTTGATAGGTGGGCAAGTTACATGGCACCTTTTCCAACCTGCCCTCTTCACTAGGAGTGGGGATGGGGTGAAGGTGGGTGGACAGTTTTTAAGGTGGAGGGCTATTAGTTTTTATTTGAATGGTGCAAGACCCCAGAGAGGCCCGGAGCCCTCTGCTTGTTCAGGCCTACCTGCCTGATTGCTGAGAGGAGCTGGAGAATCT